TGAGACCAGCCTGGGCAACACAAAAAGACCTTGTCTCTATTTCTTTAAGAAAAATATGGCTGGCCACAGTGACTCTCACCTGTGATCCCAGCACTTCAGAAGGCTGAGGCAGGTGGATCACCTGAGGTCAGGAGTTCAAGACCAGCCTGGCCAAAATGACGAAACCCTGTCTACTAAAAATATAAAAATTAGCCAGGCATGGTGGCACGTGCCTGCAGTCCCAGGTACTCAGAAGGCTAAGGCAAGAGAATAGCTTGAACCTGGGAGGCAGCAGTTGCAGTGAGCCAAGATCATGCCATTACACTTCAGCCTGGGAGACAGAGTGAGACTCCGCCTCAAGAAAAAAAAAATGTTTTAAAATAAGAGCATTATCCTCTGCAAACCACCTGTAAGAGGTGAACAGTCAAACCTATGCCAGCTGAGAAAAACCAGGATGATAAAGGGACTTGAATCTTTGTAATACTAAAAAAAGAAAAACTGAAGGTAACGGCAGAAATGAACCAGAGAGAACATGAGCACTGCTTTGGATACTGCTACTGCCTAGACAAAAAGGATTTAATGATCAAAAGTATGAATGAGAACCAATGCATAGAAGTGGGAGAGATTTTAGCTCAATGTAAAGTTTCAAGTTTTTAACAATTAAAATGAAATGGGCAACCTTGAGGGTTATAAAATCCCTGTATTAAAGGCTAAATAATTTGTTACATATGTCTTAAAGGGGACAGGCAAAGGGGCTGTTGAAATGACTTCCAAGAGCCCTAATTCTGAATTCGTATTAGTACACACAGGGGAAAAAAACCTAACCAGCTAATCTGTACTCCATAATTTTCTACTATGTGCTCAGCACACTGTGTTGGCAAAAGAGGCAAATGTGCTCTCTACCCAGACCAGGAAGACAACACTAGCATGCAACACATGTAACCAGGTACAATCATGACAGTATAGAATTCCTTGCTGTGAGGTAGGGTCAGACAGAATGAGCACAGAAGTGCAGGAAAGAGTCATCTTCAGAAGCAGAAAAACCAAAGGTCCCATGGAGGTAGCTAGATTTGCTCTAGGCACTAAATAGTGGAAGATATAGCCAAAGGGAGAAAAGAGAGGTCCTGAAACCCAGGGGAAGAGCATAAGCAGGTATAAGCATGGCCAGTTCACAGCCACAGTGGTCTGTCAGGCCTGACAATGGCAGAAGAAACAAGCTGCAAAGCAGGGGTGGAAAAGATCAGATGGTGCCCTTGAAAATCAGATGGAGGAGTTTAGACAAGGCAGGAAACACATCTACTCAAGGTTTTCAATCATTCAAGCAGCAGGATCAAAATTGTGCTTAAGGATGATGAGTTTTGCAATAGAATACAAGATGAACAAGAAGGGCTAAGAGATTGAAAATGGGGCAATCGGACAAGAAGTGAGGAGGGCCTGGACTAGGATGCTATCCAGGTTGGAGGGGATGGAGGAAATACTTTACAAAAATAAAGTCTGTTAAACTCAGTCACTGGCTTTACATGGGGAATGACAGAGAGATAAATAAGAGAAACAGCCAAAGTTCTGTGTTTACATAATCGGCAAACAGCAATGATACTAAAATAAAGCAGCACTTGTGAGAGAACAGAGAAATCTGGTTAGGGACATGTTTCATAATGTCAGTTTAGACTGAAAACTGGAGATACCATTTGCAGAGTTGCCAGCAGTGACAAGACAACGGAAGAGAAACAGATAAGCCATCTAGCTTACTGACAAGGTTGAGAAGAAACATCCCAAGACTCTACTCGTCTTGAGCACATATCCAATCCTCATGGCCAGTCATGCTCTCATTAAAACCCCATCCAGGCTAGGATGGACCAAACTTATTTTTGTATAATAAAGAGTTTCTAGTGAAAAATGTCCTCTCCTTTCTCTCCATATCCTTCTTGCTTTTCAAGGCACATATTAAGTTTTAGTTCTATGACACTTTTTTTTTTTTTAGACAAAGTCTTGCTCTGTTTCCAGGATGGAGTGAAGTGGCACGATCTTGGCTCACTGCAACCTCTGTGTCCTGGGTTCAAGCGATTCTCCTGTCTCAGCCTCCTAAGTAGCATGAGCGCTACCATGCCCAGCTAATTTTTGTATATTTACTAGAGACAGGGTTTCACCATGTTGGCCAAGATGGTCTCGATCTCTTGACCTCATGATCCGCCAGCCTCAGCCTCTCAAAGTGCTGGGATTACAGGCATGAGCCACTGCGCCTGGCCCTATGACACATTTAAGGTTACTCTGGTCCACACACAGTCTTTTCTCTGAACTTAGATTACTTCTAGTATTCATCATCAGCATAAGCACATGCTTCAGTAGCTGTATTCACATATATACTTTTTATTTTCTAACTATTAGCCAAACCTCCATAAAGTCACTGAAAGTTCAACATTTGCATAGTGAGCAGGACTAAATTACAGGAAGCTCTCTTCTAAAAATTCACTGAATGACTTAAGCCCACAGGAACAGAAACAAATCCAACTTGATTGTGCGTGTCCCAAGTAAACAACCGGCCACTGAACTCACAGAAGATGCTGGGATCTTGGCAAAGGCGGACTTACACACAAATTTTCAAGTGGTTTTCCTGCCACTTTATAGTAAGACCAAAATGAGCAAGCCCACAGACTTGACACTCCTCCTTGCTGCTTTTACATTTTCTGAGGCTTCATCTGCACATGTCCTTTCATAAGCCCCATCTTTCCATGTGTACTATGGTTCCACCTAATCTCCACTACCTGTTCCATTCAGTCCACAAATGTGCCTAGGCCGCCTTCCTTCCCTGTTTCCCCTATGCTCACTTACAAGCCAAACACAAACTCTCTCAACTTTCTCTGCTACTCTTTTTCAAGGTTAGGGTTATGCTCAAAACAGCAGTCTTGAAAAATGTCCTCTCCTTTCTCTCCATATCCTTCTTGCTTCTTACCCACTCCATAATCTGGCTTGCAGCTCAAACTTGACCCATCCTTTCAGAATGAGGTTCAATGTCATTTTCCCTAAGAATGTTACTTTGACTTCCCCTTAGCTGGAAGCATTCATTTCCTCCTTCCAACTCCCCAGCATTTTATTTATATCTCTTCTTTTGGAGAGAAGAGATATAAATTATTTTCCACCTAATATTATAGTTATTTGTGTTCATATTTCATCTTCCCTAGCAGACAAGGTGGTAGAGGTAGGTGGTGACTCAATCGGCTTTATCTTTATGATTCTATTCTCAGTTCTTCAGAGAGTTCATAAATCTTGGTTGAATTAACCTATACTATGTAATATAAACGGTATAGCAGAGAATGCAGACCACTGAGCTGGAAAGTAGAGCTCGTAGTGTAACCACAGAGAGACAGACACCATCTCTGGACTTAGCTACTGAAGTGAGGGTGTGCAATAAGTCTGTCCAAGATCCTTTCTAGCTGGAACACACTATGACTTGAATTAAACGGTATAGAAAAAGAACTCAAACTCTCAACCCCAAGTTCCTAGTTTCTTTTGGTCTAAAAAACTGGTAAAAAATATAGAGAGAGAGATTTTCTTTCCATTTTACTTCTGGAGAAAAAGTACCCTACAGGGGCTACATAACATAAAGCTGAAGAGTCGGGAAGGAAATGAAACAATGTGGATCACTGCTAACCCCATCTAATTCCTAGGCACAATCCCTATGTGGTCACTTCCATACCATGTTAGGGTGGCTTCAGCAGCATCCTTTACCCTCATAGATGCAGGGTTTGGCTCCTTATCTCCTTTGTACTTGACCTCTTGCTCGCTGTTCTTGGACTTACTTCCTGAGATACCCAGTTCCACAATCTCCAGTACTTCCTTAAGGCAGTCCTAAAAGCAGAAAAGGCAGATCCATTTTTGTAACACACCTTTCTCATGAGAAGACAAGGAAATCCATTCAAATGCTAACAGTAGATGCATTTTGGTGGAAGGGCTTCCAGTTTCTTGCTAATTTCTTTAATGGGTATATATTAACTTCATAGTAATATCATAAACTACACCCCCGTCCCTCGATTTCTCTTTAAAGAACTCAATTTGGGTGTTTAGAGAGTTAGATATGTAAATTCAAGACAGTAAATCAAAGCACAAAGAGATAAAATAGAAATTCAGTGAAACCTGGGCTGGTTTAAGACATGGTATAATATTCAAAGGAAATCTTGTAATGACATTTTTAAATAATTTCTGGTATTATAACTTCAGAAGCCATAATGAAAATGACTAAGATTTAATCAACAATATTATTTCTTAAACTACATAAAGGTTTCTATAAATATCCAATGATCTCTCCTTTTATTTGTGCTGTGAATTCCTTATAACACCTGCTTGCCTATAAGGAAGACATTGCATGAAACAATGGTAGAGAACGCAGACTAGTTATCGGCACCCACTTGAGAGTGAAGAAATGAGCATGAAGTAACATTTTTTGATAGAAGCAACCTTTATGGACAAGCTGTGCTCTAGGTTTGCAGCCTGGCAATCAACTGCCCTTCTTTGTTTGGTGAAGGGTGACCAAAGTGCCTACTAGCTATATCCAGTCTACCACCCTTTCAAGAAAGAACAGTATTGATAGTTCAGATAAATTAGTCAAGGTCCCATCTTTCTAAAGAATTTCTCTACGAGTTAATCTGCAACCAAATATAAGCAAAATGACAGTTTTCAAGTTGTACCCAAAAGGACAAGTGCTCCATTATATCTAACATGTATGTTCAGTTTAAAGTGTGCAATACTGTATTTAAATTTAGATATTCTCTCTCAAAAGGCACTTTGCTAGCATACATTGTTTTTACTTAATGGTTTAAAGTAAAATAAATTCACCTTTTCATCGAGCATATCAGGGTGCTCTGTCAGCCAGACACAGAGACACTGAAAAGCTGCCACTATCATGGAGTGCAGATCCCTGGAGTGAAGAGGAGCTGGCCGACTACACTGATAAACAATGTAGCTGCACACAGAACTGATGGCTCGCTTCCGGTCTCCTGAGTCAACCATCACCTTTACCTGAGCATATTCATTTGGAAAACAAAAACAATCAGCCAGGAATTACTGTACCTATTTCAAAGCATTTGCCCTGAAGCTTGACCTATTTGACAATGTGATACACTACAGGAAGCCTTGCTTTTTTATATTCTTTATATACAGGAACAGAATATTTCAGATGTAGCATAATACTCCACAAAAAATAGTGGTATTTTTCAAGTCTTAAAACAGTATTTCATTTTAGCATAGTTTTTTCATGCCCTAAAACCCAAACACATTGTGTATACCTGTTTATCACTGCCAGAGACTGAAAGAACATGGGCACATTTTTAAATCCCTAACCCAGCCTCACAGTGATGCTCTAGGCTCTGCACAGTTCTGTGCAGCTGCTCAGAAACATAATCATCATACAGTAAAGGGCCCAATATTTCAAGTATACAATTGGTCAATTCTGACATAAGTATGCACCTGTGAACTATCACCAGAATCGACAGTGGACATATCTATCACCTCCAGAATCTCTTCATGCACCTTTGCAATCCTTCCTCCCACCTTTTTGCTCCTCTCCCTAAGCAACTGCTGATCTGCTATCACTATAGATTAGCTTGCATTTTTAGAGTTTGTATAAATAAAATCATATAATATGTACCTTTTTTTGTTCTGGTTTCTTTCACTCAGCATAATTATTTTCAGATTTAACTACACTTTTAGTTGTATCAATTGTTTTTTTTTTCATATTGCTTCTCTTTATTTCCAACAGTTTTTTTTTTATAACAGTCCACACAGGGATTACCTCCCACATGTACTTTCCAAGCCAGAATCCCCCTTTAGAAATTCAGATTCTATTTCTAACTCTATAGAATGCATCTCCCCAAAGATTCCATCAACTCCTCAAGTCAACATCTGCCCACCCCCAACTTCCCCTTTTTTCCCTCACTCACACTGAATATTTTTCTCAAACTGTGGCTGCTGTGTTGCTTCAAGATGCACTTGAATCCTGGGCTTCAGTGTCTAATTATGCAGAATGAAGCATTTGACATGTGCACCCAGCTAGGCAGGCGTGAAACAGGGGCACAGGATGGGATCTGGGTCATAGAAGGTTCTGTCCCCACAGTGAGGACAGGAGTTGGCACTGAGCCAGACCATGCCAGGCCACCCCAATTCACACAGCAACTCCCTAGCCTGGTGTGCAGATAGGCAAGTCTCCCCAGGTCGAGGGTGCCATTGACGTCCTCCTAACTCTCCATGCGGACAGGATACAGCAAGTGGCTCAGATTATTCAATCCGATGATGTGGTGCACGAGGTTCTCCAGGACAGACATGGAGATGGGATTCCTGCAGAAGCTGAAGGTGGTAAGCTGGGAGCAGTGGCTCAGGGAAGGCAGAAGAATAAGGAGCTGAGTATCCATGATCCCACACTCATCTAAGTCCAGGTCCTGGAGGGTGGCGGAGGTTCTCTCTAGCAGAGCTTGGAGGAGCTCGGGATTTATCTCGGTCAGCATGACCCCACTTAGACTCAAGACACTCAGCTGACTGATGCTGGGGCTCCAGGACAGATGTGTCACATCTTCTTCTGAAAGCCAGCAGTTAGTTATCGAAAGGGTTTCCAAGGGGTTCATCATGCATCTGAGCAACTGATCCAGGCGGCCTCAGAGGAAAAATAAAGAGTCCATGTAGAGCTCCTGGAGGCAGTGGAGACTGAGGAACTGAGAGGTGAACTGGGCGATATACTGCTCCTCCTTCTCTGGGGAAATGAAGGAAGATGGATGGATGTGAGCGAGGAGTAGTCTACATAGATTACTTATCTGGCTCAGGTGAGGAGAAAATTTCACCAAGGAGGTTAGTTTCCAGGTGCAAGTCACTTCCAAATCTTCAATAGAGTCCAGCTGCACCATTTTCAGGATCATCTTGATATTCTGCACAGGCATGGCAAAAAATCTTCAGCTTCTTACAGCACAGGTGTAGTACATCTTTCTTTCGCCTCACTATCTCAATCAGGTGGGTGAACAATTCATCATAGGCACCTTCCTTGAGGGACAGGTCTACGAGAACATCTTTTGGAGTAAAGGGCTGCTCTGCTTCTGTGCTCAAACCATCTATTTTCGCTTCTTTCTCATGGGCTGAGCTGCTTCTGGCTCTGGAAATGAGCAGACTGACCCTTTTTCCAGACCATATGGTCCAGAAGTCTTGATGAGAATGCTTTCCTACATCCAGCACTTTGAGTGTCCACCTCCTGGGGTGAACCTCCTGGGCAAGCAGCACATCAACTCCTTCAAGCACAGCTTTGAAGGTTTCCACGTGAAGCTGCTGTCCCTTCATCAGCACTCCCAGAGGGAGGCAGGTGAAGGGCCAGGCCTGCACCATTGCCTTCAGAGTCTGGTTGTGTTTCCCGTCAAAGTCTGCCCTGAAGAGTGGCGGGAAAAAATTTTGGGGAGCAACTCCAAGACAGCGATGGCCAGGGCCTCATTCTTCAGCAGGCTCTCTGCCCCGCCAGGTCCACGAGTCTCCGTGGGCTCGTCCACAGGCTCATGCTGATGAATCAGCTCTGAATGCAAGTCCGCAAATACCTTCGTTCCATTTTGAAGCGATTCTGGCTGGCCTCAGGACCTCCGACACTTGGATTTCTAGGTCTCAGTCACCGCACTGCGAATGCGCACCCACCCTGAGGAGCTCCAACCACAAGCACCGCCACCGCGGTTCAAAGCATACAGACACACCTCCTCAACTGTGGCCAGTGTTCCAGGGCAGGCGGCTCGGGGTGACCAAGTGGGGCACATCATTTTCTTTGGTCTTCGACCCATTTCCAGAGAGAAAACAGGGAGTTTTTCCACAAATAGTGCACCACACCGCAAAGTTGCTGTTGATAGGTCACACCTGGGGAACAGGTGGGGTGTCCCAGAGCTGTGCCAAAGCATGGCGGGCCCTGCTTCTGGCCATTGGGCAGCTGTGCCCTGAAGCCTTACAGAGATCCCACGTCTGGTGCCAGCAGGGGGCACTGGAGTCAACAGGGACTGTACACAAAGCCCACTTCCTCCCAAGCCCTGTAGGGGGACAGTCAGGTTTCTGTGGAGATGGGGAGGATCTTTTCCAGGTGAGGGGAGAGGGAGGGGCTAGGTGCCAAGCAGAAGGGCCCCATGTTTCCGGCCCAGTCCACGTGTTCTGGCTGGCTTCCCTCTCCCCTCACCCAGAAAAATCTATCAATTGTTCATTCATTTCTATTGCTGAGTAGTAGTCCAGTGCATGGATATACCCCAATTATTCTAGTTACCTATTAATAGACACTGGGTTGTTTCCAGCTTCTGGATATTATAAATACAGCTGCTATAAACATTAATGTACAAGATATTTGTATCAATTTATGTTCTCTTGTCTTCTAGGAGTGGAATTACTGGGTCATATGTAGGTGTATGCTTAGCTTTTTAAGGAACAGCCAAGCTGTTTTCCAAAATTGTGGTTCCATTTAACATTCCCATCAACAGTTCCTCCACATCCTCACAAACATTTGGTATGGCCAGTCTTTTATATTTCAGCCATTCCAATAGATTTGTAGTGGTATCTTATTGTGGTTTTAATTGCATTTCCCTAATAATTAATGATATTGAGTATTTTTCATGTGCTTATTTGTCATCTGTATAATCATCTTTGATAAAATGTCTGTTCAAATATTTTGGCCAATTTTTAATTTGGTTGTTTGTTGTATTAGTAAGGGTTTTTGTTGTTGTATTTTGTCTTCTTAAAATATTTTATTAAATGTTTTACAAGGCAACATCCAGACTCCAGAACCAGCTGCCAAGGAGACCCTATTATTCAGTTGGGGTTGGGTAGAGCATGGCTTCCTAACGATCTGTCCTGAAATAGACATGGTGAATAGTATCTCATCTTTAGGGTCCAGAGTGCTCACATGATCAGGCAGGGGATTCTTAAGACCAATCTTATCACTTGGTCCCAGGACACATGATCTTCACTCTGATGCCCAGCCCACCCTGTCTGAGAAGCACATGGATGATGGTATCAACATAGTAGCTAATAGGGTCCCTGCTGTGGATCATCAGATCATACTCAAAGTTCATGGATTTAGTTCTCTGTCCTTCAGTTTCCCTGACACCATGACCTCGTAGCCCTTGCCCCACTCTGCATAGCGCAGCACACTACTGAAGGCCCTCCCCACAGAAAACCTAATAATAGTTTATAGCACAGACTCTGTCTGGGCAATGGCATAGAGAATTCTTTCAGGCCACCTTTTCAGCATAAAGCTTTACCTGACCTCAGGGAAGCCAAACCTCTTCTGAACTACCTCAGCCAATTCACAGATAAAGTGGTTATTTTCACCAAGAACATTCTGCTTCCTGGATGCTAAGGTAGTGATTTCTATTCCGGCTGGTGTAACTTGGACCTCAGCTCCAGAGTAGTCACCTTCTGCAAGTACTCGCTCAGTTTATTTCTGAAGATGCTATCAAACTTCCTCTTCTTAGAAATTTTCACCATATTGCTGCTGTGCACCACCAAAAGGAAAGGCTCTTACTGAGTTCTGAGAGTTCTTTATGTAATCTAAATATAAATCTTTCATCAAATATATGCTTTGTAAACATTTCCTCTCAGTCTGTGATTTGTCACCTCGTTCTTTTAACAGTGTTTTCTAAAGAACAGAAGTTTTAAATTTTGAAGTTCAACATATCAGTTTGTTCTTCTATAGTGTAATATCTAAGAAATCTATCCCAAGGTCACAAAGATATTCTCCTATTTTCTTCTAGAAGTTTTATACTTTAGGTTTTCTATATTTTTTTTAAGTAATAGAGACGAAATGTCACTACGTTGCCCAGACTGGTCTCGAACTCCTAGTGCTCCTCCTACCTCAGCCTCCCAAAATGCTGGGATTACAGGCATGAGCCACCATGCCCAGCCAGTTTGAGTTAATTTTTGTTCATAGTGCAACGTATGAATCAAAACTTTTTGTTTTTTTGTATATGAATATCCAGTTGTTTTTATAGTACCTCTGGTTGAAAAGACTATCCTTTCTCCTTTGAATTACCTTTGCACCTTTGTCAAAAATCAGATGACCATTTATGTATGGATATACTATTCTCTCCCACTGATCAATCTGTCCAACCCTATGCCAATACCAGGCTATTCTGATTACTGTAGCTTTATAGTAAATCATAAAATCAGGTAGTAAAAAAGATTTTAAAAATCTTTTTTAATGATTTGCCCTTTATGATTTGCAGGTCCATCTAGGGCTAATTATTCCTTACTACTGAGTATACTAAAGGTCACAGGAAATAGTACCTTACTCTAAAAGACAGTGTGCTCCTGTATGTCTCATTAATGGCTGTTTTTATTTTCTGTACCAGTAACTGCTTCTCACAAAATTATGATGTCCATCCTGGAGGAGCTTTGAGGTAACCTCTAAGTGGCAATAAAACATCTTAGGTTTTATTGCTTATTTTGTTTCTTACAGCTTAGGTAAGTCACAGCCTCTGACACCTATTGCCACAACTGAAAAATGAGGGTCTGAACCATATCATCCCAGACAGTAGCACCTGTTTATCAGCTCTTTGTTCACAAAATATTTTATGTATTTCCTCAATTATGTATTATATGTAAGATAATCCTGCTCATCTTACTGACAAGAAAACACTTAGATGTTAGAGAAAATGCAAAGAAAGTGAAACCTTCATACACTGGGAATGTAAAATGATTCAGTTACTATGAAAAACAGTTTGGCAGTTCCTCAAAAAGTTAAACATAGGGTTACTATATAACCCAGTAATTCTGCTCCTAGGTGTATACCCAAAAGAACTGAAAAACTGGTATTCAAACAAATACATGTACATACATGTTCACAGCAGCAATACTGACAATAACCTAAAGATGAAAACAACTCAAATGTCCATCGAGTGATAAACGGATAAACTGGGGTATATACATACAATGAAGTATTATCCAATCATAAAAAGGAATACAGTTCTGACACATTCTACAATGTAAATGAAACTCGAAAACATTACGTTAAGTGAAAGAAATCAGAGACAAAAGGTCACACATTGTATGATTCCATTTATATGAAATGTCCACGATAGGCAGATCCATTGAGACAGAATGCAGACTGGTGGTTGTCAGAGGAGGAGGGGTGGGGAGGCTGAAGCAAAACTGCTTAATGGGTATGGGTTTCCTTTAGGGGTGATAAAAACTTTTTGAAACTAGAGGTAGTTGCTCAACATTGTGAATGTACCAACAGTCACTGAATTGTTTGCTTTTAAATGGCTAATTTTATATTATGCAAATTTCATCTCCAAAGAAAGAAGACGCTTAAGAGAAGCACAAATGACCACCCAGTTCTAAGGTTCCACAAAACTGAAATACCAGCTGTGAAAGAAAACTGTAAAGTGTAGCCAAGGCCGGGTGCAGTAGCTCACACTTGTAATCCCAGCACTTTGGGAGTCTGAGGTGGGTAGATCACTTGAGGTCAAGAGTTTGAGATCAGCCTGGCCAACATGGTGAAACCCCATCTCTACTAAAAATACAAAAATTAGCTGGCCTTGATGACGTACACCTGTAATCCCAGCTACTCAGGTGGCTGAGGCAGGGGAATTGCTTGGAAGCAGAGGTTCCAGTGAACTGAGTTTGCACCACTGCACTACAGCCTAGGCAACAAAGCAAGACTCCATCTCAAAAAACAAAACAAACAAAAAAAAAAGTATAGCCAATTTTCACTTATCTCTGATAATGGAAGATGGCAGAGCCACAGGTAATCCCAAATGGCATACATTAAGATAATCACTTTTTACAAAATCAGTATGTATTCTATTATATGCAAATAAATAAATGGCAAGTATTGAAATGTTTCCTATATTTTAACAGTAAAAATCTCATTCATACTCTTTGAACCTATTTTTAAACAGTAAAGTTCATTTCATAAAACTTCACTTGGAGGCTCAATTTTGCACACTTTGGATATAAACCAAACTAAATCAACACTAGTGATCAACACTGAAATACCCACACAAAGGGTCAAGAGATAGAAGAAAAAAAGAGCTAAGGCCAAAGGCTGTTGGGGTAAAATAAAAGGACTGTCTTCCTCACCTTTGCAAGGCCAGAGAGGAGCTCTAGAGCTGCCAGTGATATGCTCATGTCTTGGCGCCACTGGGAGTTGAGTCTTTGAGTGACGAGATGAATGCTGCGAATCAGGAGCCCAGCAGCTGAATCTGTATTAAGAGCTAGGATATAACCCCAATGCCACATCCCACAGGGAGGGAAAACAACTAAGCATTAGTAACGAGAAGCACAGCATCCACTAGGCACAGACCATAGCAGCCACAGTGAGAACGACGGGCACCCACACAGTGCTATGCTCCCCACCCCACTGGCCTGAGTGCCAAGTCCGACTAAACGGTGCACAGGCACATGTGCTGGACCAGAGCAGCTTCTAGCTCCTGGTTCATGCACTTTCACAAAACTGTGGGATTTGGCAGTTTCAGTGTCATTTTTATAACAATGTAAATCTTAAAGTTTATAAATTATCAACTCATAGAGAGCTACATTTTCAAAAAGTGATGAAAAGGCTATCAATTATTTCCTTAAAACTTTATAGAGGAAAGAGTTCAAATTTTACAGCCTCCTCAGATGCTGGGAATTACTCTAAAGCAAGCATCTGTTGAAATTACTTACAGAGTTTAAACCATCAAAACTCACATGCAATGCCTTTTCAAACACACTTTAACATTTAATTCTCCAAGATTACTTTAATATTTCTAAAAAAAAACTAAATAACCAAGCCACTGTATTTTTATTTGGGCTACAATCTGTATTTAAAAGTAATTTCTAGTTAGCTAATAGAAAATTAGAAAAAATTAAATAAGGACGATTAAACTGAATTTATAAAAAAAAAAGCTTTAGGGACATTATACCTGTCGATCCTATCAGAAAGAGGGCAGTGACAACAGAAAAAGGAATGATCATTAAAGAGAGACACTCATGCGACACTAACACAAATCAGGATTTCTTAGTAAAAAATATTTTACGACATTACAAGCAGAGCTCACTAACACCAGTTCAAAATGCTGAAACAAACAATAATCACTTAAAACATTTATATTAGAACACATGCAGTAATAAAAAACCTTTCTTTTTTTTTTTTTTTTGAGATGGAGTCTCGCTCTGTTGCCCAGGCTGGCGTACAGTGGCGCAATCTTGGCTCACTGCAACCTCTGCCTCCCAGATTCAAGCAATTCTCCTGCTTCAGCCTCCCAAGTAGCTGGGATTACAGACACCCGCCACCACCCCCAGCTAATTTTTGTCTGTTTAGTAGAGATGGGGTTTCACCATATTGGCCAGGCTGATCTCAAACCCCTGACCTCAGGTGATCTGCCCACCTTGGCCTCCCAAAGTGCTGGGATTACAGGTATGAGCCACTGTGCGCAGCCAGTAATGACAAATTTATTTAGCTTAAACATGTTTTAGAAAGCATAAACAATAAATTTTCAATCTATAGAATACCTAAATCTACATACACAGTGAATAAGATACTTTAAATAACTTATTTACAAATATATTTAAAGGTGTTATTCAAATATCCATATAATAGCTTTATGTATCTGATATGTTCAAGGATACCTGTTGCAAACTTAAATCATAGAAACATGGCTCATTAACTTTCCAGATGATTAAAAAATTAAGCTCACATCTAAGAATCTAGATATCACTCCAATCTAGTTGGATAAATGCTCAACAGATTCAATACACTGTTAATACTTGTGTAGAAAAACATAAAAGGTACTCCACAAACTCACAGAACTGATAAAACAACTGCCCAAGGTAGGGGAAAACCCTGTATAAGATGCTTGGCTGGCAAATGTTTTAGTTGGCAGGGCAGAAAATAGAAATGTTTCAGGACTAAAGAACCTAGTGAATAGGGTACACAGGTTTTAACATGAAGAGATGCTCTCCTCTGGGTTGCTATCTAATGCATTTCCCATCACCCTCCTTGCCACAGTGTAATAACTGGCTTACTGGACATCTCTGCCACTATACTGAGCTCTGAGGCATAGCCCACATCCTGTTTGGTTCTCTACCGCCCCACATAGTAGAGAATTCAGAAATGTTTCTGGATCACCCACTACTATCAATTATAAAATCTAACATACTACCCCAAATCTAATACACTACACAAAAGCTATACAGCTAAATTAAAAAGATTTGTTTTCTTTCTCTTAGCTTCTTAGACTGACATCCTCTCTATCACACTTAAGTACATTAAAAAATCATGAACATTAAAATTTTAATGTTTTCGTTTTATAAATGTGAGCATTAAAGTCATTCTATTAAACTTTGAATTTCAAAAGAAACATGACTTACCATAATCTCTTAAGAGAGCTTGAGCGGGTCTCTCACTATCGGGAGTTGTGGGCTCTGTGCTTCCACCACTTGCTGAACTAATACCACTATTAGTGCGACTATGACTCTTCAGGTTATTTTCTCCACCACCCTAGTTAAATGAAATGAATCAAGTGTTTGAGGGTTACATCACAGTTTACAAGTATAAATAAAAGTCAATCATTAAAAACCTGTTGATAAAACAGAATGTGCCAACTGAATAGCACGAACTGATAGTAACAGATAAAAATTGACAAATGATTAAAACCACTATGGTATTTTTACAGAGACACATCTGCTGGAGGGCACGAAGGATCTGACTACTACAGGTGCCCATACTGGGGGTCTTCTTTGCCACTATTTACAAAGGGCCAGCCCAGCTTTTTCATCTTGACTAGACTTCACCAGCTACTGATTCTGAGTCCTTAAGGAAAATACCCCAGTGCCTCCTAAGCAAAACTTCAGAACAGAAATATAAGCTTAATAAACAAACAACAACAACTTTCAAATATAGTTATATCAGAAAACACAAACAATAAAATACTAGGGTTAGCATGAAGATATGTAGAGGTGCTAATAAACCTATCTATTAGACTTACCTAATTTTTTCCCCATATAAACACAATTCATTATATTCAGATCAGTAAATTATTATTAACCACCTAGAGAGACATGAGTGTAATTTCCTTAATAATAATTTGATCACTCATCCTACATCAACCCAGCTTATCCTAGTATACCCTATTAATACTTAGGTCTAGAGGGGTTAGAAAGAAATGATGAGAAAGAAAAAGTTAAACTAGATGCTTGCTGGCTAGAGCTTTTCCTAGATTATTCAACCAAGTTCGTCACCACAGCAAAACAAGTAAGAGTTTTAAGTAGATACTGTTCAGGAATAAAGACTGGATTTAGCTGGAGTTTCTCTCATATAGAATCTCTCGGGGACCTGATGTATAGCTTTTATGAGGCACTGAAAAGTAATCCTCAATATATACTTTATTTTTAAACAGAATCCTTCTGAGTCAATGACTAGGATTTACAAACCAAAGGCCATTAAAATTCACAAAGATGGACATTTTGGTACATAATTTACATTAAATCCAAAAGTGATATTCTCTGACAGATTATATCTTACTTACTATCTCCATCTGGCAACCAATGGCTTCTAAAAGTGCTGAATCTTGAACAATATTTAACATTGCCCCTGCAACAACAACAAAACAGTATTTTATATAAAATATACAAGAACACTAAAATTGCTAAGACATTTTATATGATTAATAGTGAGATAAGAATATCATTTTGGTTGAACATTCCTGAAATACCCAGGAAATTACAGTTGGCCCTTAAACAACATGAACTTGGACTGTACATATGCAGATTTTTTTCAATAAGTATGTTAGAAAATTTTTTGAAGATCTGTGACAATTTCAAAAAACTCCCAAACTATATAACACAAAAATATCCAAAAAATGGCTCAGTGCAATGGCTCACACCTGTAATCCCAGCACTTTGGGAGGCTGAGGTGGGCGGATCACTTGAGGTCAAGAGTTCGAGACTTGTAATCCCAGCACTTTGGGAGGCCGAGGCGGGTGGATCACAAGGTCAACAGATAGAGACCATCCTGGTCAACATGGTGAAACCCCGTCTCTACTAAAAATACAAAAAATTAGCTGGGCATGGTGGCACGTGCCTGTAATCCCAGCTACTCAGGAGGCTGAGGCAGGAGAACTGCCTAAACCCAGGAGGCAGAAATTGTGGTGAGCCGAGATCACGCCATTGCACTCCAACCTGGGTAACAAGTGCGAAATTCCATCTCAAAAAAAAAAAAAAAGAGTTCGAGATTAGCCTGGCCAACATGGTGAAACCCCATCTCTACTAAAAATACAAAAATTAGCCAGGTGTGGTGGCATGCACCTATAATCCCAGCTACTCAGGAGGCTGAGGCACAAGAATTGCTTGAACCTGGAAGGTGGAGGTTGTAGTTAGCCAAGATCATACCCCAGCACCCCAGCCTGGTCAACAAAGGAAAACTGCATCTCAAAAAAAAAAAAAAAATTTTTTTTTTAAATTATAAAAAGTTAAAATTGGCTGGGCAGGGTAGCTCATGCCTGTAATTCTAGCACTTTGAGAGGCCAAGGCAGGAGGATTGCTTGAAGCCCTAGACTAGAGTAGGCAATAAAGCAAGACACTGTCTCTAAAAATAAATTAAAAAAAAAAAGATTTAATGTATCAAAACTTACATAAACAAACACTTAAAAGACCATACATGATGCCATTTGCAGTTCTGAGAAATGTAAACAAAGATGCATTATTAAATAATTGCATAAAAATAACTGTGGTACATACTGTACTTCTGTAATAATTTTGTTGCCTCCTCCTGTTGTTATTGGGGTGAGCTCAAGTGTTAACGAGTATCCTCCCTAAAATACAATTTGATGCTAACCATCTCCATGTGAGTAGTTCACCTCTCTAGCAGATTGAATATTGCAGTAAATTGCATATCATGGTTCTCCCATATTTTTATCATGTTTAGTGCAACACCATGAACCCTGACTAACACCGTGGGACCCATACGTGCCACTAGTGATACTGGAAGTGCTCCCAAGAAGCAAAGAAAAGTCATTACATTACAAGAAAAAGCTGAGTTGCTTGATATGTACTGTAGATTACGGTCTGCACCTGTAACTACCCAACATTTCAGA